CACACACACACACACAAACATATCCATCAGGACAAAAAACAAGTTACCAAACTTGGAGCGCTAATGACATGAGTGCTGTAATAATGAATGTTCTCTGTCATCAGAGGGTGTTCTGCACTTGATCACAGTGTGTGTGAAACTGCACGCAAACACACTTTATTGAGGTGTGTGTGTGTTTGAAGACTAGTTGAACTGCAGGGTTGTGTTAGGGATTGTTGTAGGACGACAGGACATCACATCTGTTACACAACCATGCGACAACTGTTTTAACTGTGCAGGCTGGTTAGTGTATTTTTTGAGTGTGTGCATGTACACGTACGCTTTTGCAGGAGGTCACAAAGGTCGGGACTGTTACTCTTAATATGCACTTGTATGCTCATAAGTGTGTCTCTACGAGCACAAGAGGCAGGAAACACAAGAAGAAGTCCACAACTTAATTATGTGTGTGTGTGTGTGTGCTTCACATCTCAAGCTTCCAATTTAGGATGGAGAATGTTGGAATTAATACGAATTCTAATGAGACACAATTCGATTCTCACTGTAAGACAACAGTTACAACTTTTACCAAAGTGTTTTAAAAGATTGCAAATTACAATTATGAGTTATGAGTTTTTACCTCTTTTGACTATTTTGAAAATATTATTAAGACAAAACGAGGAAAAAGTATTTGAGTAAATGTGCATTTGAGAAAACATGTAAAAACGTGTGGTTACTCCTTGTAAAGTGAAAAACAACAAAGCGAAACAAATACGAAAATCCATTTGGACCTGAACATGTTGCATGAAACATGAAACAAATGAGAAAATCTTCTCTCTTCCTTCCACATTCTGAGTTTTGTAATGCAGATTTCAGAGTCTTCCCTTTATTACTTTTTTGTGTCCAATCCACAAACACCTTCAGCTCTCAACACTTCATTCTGAATTTCATCTCCCCTCCTCTTTACTTCCTTCTGACATTCTGTTCACTAATGTGCAACATTTTGTTCAATAAAAAAAAAGGTTATAAAACAGGGAAAATAAATCTCTGAGGAAGCTCTCTTAGTTTTGTGGCTAACAAGTCAATAAGTATTCACGGTTTATTCAAAAGTCTGGATTTGTTGTGGCCTGTCTCAAAACATTCTGCAAACCAGAGTGGTTCAATTTTACACGGATGGAGTCACTTCCTTTTTCTGTCGACTCTCTTCGGGCTGAGATATACATGCTCATAAGCTTCAGATGCATTATGAGCATGATACATGACACATACTTGCTGTGTTCTTAACATGACCATGGCATGTTGCTGGAGTATTCTTCACCACAGAATTACACACTACTTAACTCAGACTGCATAAAGCGTATCATTAATTTTTGAGGATGTGCACAACCGACGCACCAAACAGATGCAGGATACATGAGGCAGCCATGATGTGTACACGTACAAAACTTAAGACTAAGCCTATATCTGTGGCCTTAGGTCATAAAACCTGACCGATATTTCAATCCTCCTGAACGAGCTGTGTGACTCTATCAAACCTCCACATCCCCCCACTCATCTGAAGTCTGCGGTGTGTTCATCTGCAACATGTTGGAATATTTCAACCCTTTTTGGCTCGGCTGCAACGACGAGGCCAGCCTCTATAAATACAACCGTCAAACATTAGCTACTTCCTGTAGAAGACAGTCACCAGCATCAAGTTGGGATTTTCCTGTTCAAGCACATCTCTCAATGTCTCTCATTCAACTGACCACACACAGCAGCTGACACCGACGTGAATGAGTGATCATTTTACAAGAAAATCTGAAATCAGCAGCTGTTTTTTTGAATGAGGCTTTTTGATCAATGTCTGCATTTATCACCAAAATCTTTCCATTCTTTCTGTCGGCAGCAGTGGTGTCTTCTGTGTGTATGGCTCCTCATTCCGAGATATCTGTATTCCTCCAGTTTTACAGCCATCGCGTCAACTCACTTGCTGAAGAATGAATGAAGTTGTCTACATTTCTTACATCATTTTGTTCAATTACAAAAATGCCAGAATAAGAGGATTATGAGACTTACCAGATAAGCAAACAGTATAGGAGAGCGGATGATCCACCAATATCCCATGTTAATATTTCTCTCCCAGCACCTACACACACACACACACACACACACACAATTCTTTGTTATCATTACAATTCAGATGTTCTTGCTGTATCCTAAGAGTCATCACAAATTCATTCACAGGAGCATGAGTAGATTTAAGGAAGTCAAAAGGAAAGACCATTAAAAACTTCTGTCACTTGCCTCTTCACAGATAAAAGCTGTTACACATACACCACCTTTTATTTGATGTGACATTATTAGGAAGTGGATAAAACTTACTCCTCATTCTCATACAGATATTTCATTGTGATCCACGGCAGCACGAAGATGAGCGGTGCACCTGAGAATATATGAAAGGAACCCAAAAAAATTGAATATATCTTCAAACGCTCCCGTCGTCTTTTTTTCACCTCCGACAAAATGGAAAGCTCAACTTTACTGTAGATAACAGAACTATCATCGTATATCTGATTTATAAATCTCTTCTACAAGCTCTTGACATATTTATACAAAGACATTTCAGATACTTATAATAACCCATCAGGCAACATAGCCTGGATCAAACAGTGAAGACTAATCCATCTTCCTCTTCTGACGTCTACTCACATTGTGTTCTCATTTCAGAGCCTGCCATGTCTCACCTACATCACTATACTGTGAATCTGTGAATTACTGTTCTTATCCTGAGGATGTCCACCTGTCGAACAAAGCTGCACTTGAGTCTATTTACAAACCTGTAAACCATCTCTGCACCTTATTGTTCATTTACACACTGTATGTCACTCAGAATTATGACTTTTTATACTTGTATATATTGCCTTTCTTACCTTTATATTTCTATACTTTTAATATGTTTACATTTGTATATTTCTATAATTTTGTCTTTATTTATTACGCTTCCATGCTGGAGAAAGCCAGTGGCAGAGGGCATAACGTTTTTGTGTTGTCCGTCCATTCATCTGCTCATCAGTTCCATTCTTGTGATCAATTTATCTAGAAAATGTCTTGACAGAATTTGGTCAAATATTCAGTTGGACTCACGGAAGTACTGATTAGATTACAGTGGTGGATGGTCAAATGTCAAGGCCATGCACTGTGACCAAAACAGGTTTTTGTTGCAAACACTTGGACTCATTGATGAACTGAATAGATTATTATCGAGGGTCAAAGTTCACTGTTACCTCAAAAAACTTTTTTTTGTGTTGTGAGCACGAAATCTTAGCAACAACTCCAAGGAATCACTAATTCCATGTTAGTGGTCAACAGTCAAGGTCATTGTCACATCACAAAACTCTTCTGCCTCACAGGTGTGTTATCTTTAGAACACCTCAAGAGAATCTTTTTCAAATTCAGCTCAAATGTTCACTCAAAGATTACCTGATCAGATCTCAGTGGTCAAAGGATAAAGGTCATGGTGAAAAAAAATGCATGTAGACTGAAACTGCTCTGGTCGGCAGAGGCAGACAACGGTAGGGTGGAAATACTACTTTTTCTAATAATTATAAACCATTTTCTAAATTTTAGAGACTGCAACTGCATCTTTATTGTGTTTCTGTCTGCAGCAGTACAACAACAATAAAGAATCTAAGACATCTAGCGTGATACTTTCTGTTGTTGATGACTGTGTCATTGTCAACACCTGATCTACCTGCAGACCTAAATGTCAGGGCACTGTTTGTTGATCTCAACATTCTGTACAGTGTCTCAGAATATGTGTTGTGTATTTCACAACAGCTACACGAGGATTGCCAGTTGCTGTGAGTGTAGGAGTTTTGGTTCTTACCCCAGCCGATGGCCAGATAAATAGAGAAGTACTTCCTCTCGCTGAACACTGTGATGACCAGCAGGCTGTGCAGGTATATGCCCTCCACCAGCAGCCAATAGTTGTTGGCCATCACACTGTACTGCATCATCACCATGGCACCACGACACCACATCACAGCCTGACATGCACACAGGACAGTGACGGTGAGGACAAGAATTAAGATACGGTGCTAAAGCAGAAGACGTCACTTTCAGTCAGAGCTTCGCACAGGACTGACAAACACTGAGTCACAATAACAGTTCAGAGTTCAAGGCTATCTTTCACAACATGTAAAGTTGAAACATTACTGTAAATGCAAGTTCAATATATTGAGCAAGTCAGCACAAAAAAAACCATCAATCAGTGCATTTTTAATTGTCCCCTTGAAGGAGGTTATTTTTTCATTGGCGTTAGTTTGTTTGTTAACAGGATTAAACAAAAGCTACTGGACAGATTATGACTGCACTTTGTGGAAGGATGTGATATGGGTCAGGGAAGAAGCCAATACATTTTGGTTTAAATCACATCTTTAACAATGTGTTTTTGATTCTTTTCATTGATTTCTCATGGCATTATTTGTAAATATATTTAGGGGGTTGGTATCTATGAGTGTTTTCTTTCCGAATCAAAATCTGGATCACATTGATTTAAATTCGGTTTCATAAGCTTTTTTCAGCTGTTGTATGGAAACATTAGGGCTGGAAACCTACTAACAACATGTAGCTGCAAGACATAATGTGGCCTTAGCTATAGGGCTTGTTGTAATTTAATGGGACTGTTGGGCCTTGGTGGAGGTAAGTGCTCTACTTGCAATTGCTGTTCCCTACTTGCATACATGTGGACTGGTGCAGACACAATGTTATTTTGATTCAATATCAGCCTTAGCTCTGACTGGTATGCTGACCCAAGCATGTGTCCGCGTGTCGCTGTTGCTCCTGGGGTCCAGAGTGAGGGTGAGCAGGGCGTCTTTCACCAGGATGGACACGGCTCTCAGGATGAAGGAGGCAAACAGGTTCATGTGGATGTTGTTCCTCATACAGTGGAGCCTCCTGCAGCAGAGGAGTCACAGCGTGTCATGGCTTTGATTAGAATTTTCCATGTTCACTGCTCTGCATGGAGCAATGTCATTATTTTTCAATTTGTTCTTCCCCTCCCTTTTTCCACATGTGTACTTCCTTCCTTCTTATTTGACAAACTGTTTTTCAAAGAGGCAGTGGCAAGTGATTCTTACACTTTAAAATGTATGAATAAGGGTTCAACTCAACTGAGCTGGGAACGGCACACAAGTTAAAAATCATAACAACTTTTTCGTCCTGTTCAACTACAACTCTGTTGCTAGGCGACAGCGGTAAGGGCGGACCAAGCTGGGGACACAGATCACAGAAATCCTCTGTAGACCAGACTAGTTTGGATCAGCCTTTGCAGTCTATAGGTGGCCCCTGAATTGGGACACAACTCATGTCATTCATTGTTAAATTTGTCCCTCTTTTGTTCTTTCCCTCTCTTGTTCCTTCTATCCTTCCCTACTTAAGTTGTCGTTCTCTCCTTTCATTCATTGCTTATTTTTTTCTTTCTCTGACATACTTCCTACTGTCATCTCCTTCCACCCTGACCCTAACCTGTCTTTCCTTGGTTCCTTCTTTTCTTTCTCTTATAGTTGCCCTGTCTATTCAATTCTTTTCTTTTGATTTGCATTAATCCTTCCCTTGTTTCCTCTTTGTACATGTTCTACCTGAAGGTGATGAGGATTCCCAGTGCCAGTAGCAGAGCTCCCAGGGAGAGAGAGTAGCCCACTGTGTACATGATCCGTAACTGACTGAGGATGCGTCCATACTGCTGCTGCTGAGCCAACACACACACACACACACACACACACACACACACACACACACACACACACACACACACACACACACACACACACACACACGGTAGATTAAATCTGGCTAAAAGAAATGTGAATAAACAAGGTCTTATTTGAACAGATGGGAGGACGTTCACACACTGAGTCATTTCACATCTTGTCATGTTAAACTATCAAGTCAGTGAGAGTCACATTATTGCTGAGCCATCTGCCACTGCAAGCAGCTTAAGTCATGGTATCGGTGACTTACATCTTTGTACACACACATGCACACACAAACACACTGTACTGTGAACACACACACCTCACCAGGGTCGTCCTCACATTCGCTAGTATTCTTCTTTGCCCACTGACCGTCTTCTCTGCAGACTCTGTACACCAGACCATGCTGAACTGTTCACACACAGACACACACGTCATTAAAGAGTACACTTCCCTACGAAAGAGTTTTCAGGCTATATTGGCTTCAGTCTTTGGGGGGGATTTCGAGAAGAAAGTTGCATTAGAGGAGAAAGACATAATTTTATGACAATAAAGTTATTTCAAGAATAGAGTTGCAATTTAATTAGATAAACTCGTTTTGAGAATAAAGTAATAATTAAATAAGAAAAATGTCACCATTTTGAGAATAAAGTTTAATTTAATGTATTTTATCCTCCTAAAATTTCAACTTAACTTTCATAAAATTCCAACTTTATTCTTGTAATATTATCAAGTTCTTCTCGAAATCTCATTTTTGAATGTTTTGCAGATAAAACTGACCTGTTGAAGTTTATTTCCTAGTATAAATGTTTCTACAGTATGAAGATTACACAAGGATGAAATCATAAATGCTGAAATCCGACCTGAAATTTCACAGATGAACAAAATTCCCTTTATTCAAAAATACTAATACTAATGATAATGATATTTAGTGGAACAAAGGCAAACACTGAGAAACTGTGTTGGACATCATCTCTTTCCACTCGCAGGAGATGGAGAGGCTCCTGCCAGGCTGCCAGCACACACAGGACATAACAGAGACAAACTCTACTTATCATCCATTCACAGCCTCCAGGATCAAACCTGAACATCAAAATGATCAATCAACACAAAAAGAGCAACAGGTGATCAGATCTGGACTCTGCAGGCTATGAAACAACACACGCCAAGGTGAAATGACTGAGGCAGCTTCACAGGACACATGTTCAGGCTGCCACCTAAGACACAGTGTGAAGCCTTCACACCACTCTCAGGCTGATACTACTAACATGTGGCCTTCTTATCCACTTACTACTCCATCCACTCTATGACTGAAACAGCTGCACACTTTCTGAATCCGCAGTTCACCCAACAGATAGCTGGCTTCTTTCATCCCTCTGAGTGACAAGAACATGTAATGAGCTGCATGTCCTTTGCAAAGCATTCTCCATTCACTCTATAGGAGGACTTTACATTACAGCACGTTATCACATCACTGTATCCTTGCAGTTTTCATTCAATGAGTAGGATAAGGTCTAACAAGTCAGAAAAACTTCTCTTGTACCTTATTCTCCCTGTACTAGCATGAAAAGGGAAATATTTTATAGGTGTAAATAGGTTTATAAGTGGAAAAAAATCAACCAACATCACACCTTCAATTAACAAAAATATATATATATTAGTCATATGTCAAAAAACACAGACCTAATTTTGTGTTTGTTAGAAATGACAAGGCCACAAAGACAATGTGAAAAAGTGCAGTCAAAGACTTTCTTTTCTCACACGCTGGACTTTTAAAAGTGCATGACAGGAAGTTAATACTACAGGACTGAAAAAGAAGAATGAAAAAGACTTAAGTTTTACCTTTAACCAGAGCTGTCACTCTGAAGCTGAAAACAGTTGAATTCTCTTGGAGGTAATTTTAAAAGACAGGTTGTTTATTTGATTTCCTCACTGTGAAATACTTTAAATCTAAAGCTATTACTTTTTTTCTAAATTTGTTAGACACTGTGCCTGGCAGCCATTCAGATATAATTCATACACAGCAGTGGATGCGACAAGACCAAAACATTTGCTGCTTGTGTCCCTTGCTGGGTGGTGTCTCTCTCCAAACGGAGCCAGGGCGAGAAAATCTTCCCCTAGGAATTGGGACACCACTCGCTATGTCGCCAGCAGCCAACCATAGTTATTACAGTGACAAACAATATCAACTAACTTCTTACATTAACAACAGTGATTCACCAACATTATAATAGTGACACATCTAACAACTGCAGGACAGACGGGACGGATTGATCCATTGATCAATACACAGTCAGTCAGTGTGTTTACATCAGTTATTTCAATGTCACGTTAGTCCTGTCCACAGAAACTTACTCAGCACAGCAAATGTTATAACACGAGCAGGGGACATTTACAAAATGGGTGAATTGGGACAGGCAAGTAGTATGGAAGTAAGACAAGCTAGTGACATAAAAAGTGAATCCTGTGTTGACTAGACCATCGCATTTCTATTCAGCCTTTGTGTCCTCCAAAAAAGGTGGTCCATGAATCGGGACACAGCTAAAGGTGATTGATTTCCTGTGTCACTACAAGTAACACCATGTACATTACATATAACCATTTGTTAATACTATTAATACAGCAAAATATGTTGTGCATATGTTGAATGATTGTGTCATCTAACAGCCTCAGTATTCATCTCTTATGTCTTGCATGCAGGCAGGTATATAAACAACCACCCATTGTGACTGCACACACTCACAAACAGACCTTTACGGTGCCATGGCAGGAACCATGGGCAGGAGACATTGACAGTGGTTCCTGGGACTCCATCAGGCCAGCAGGCGTACAGGTCGAAGGTCCTGTTACACACCAGCCCTGCAGTGGAGAGCACATCTGTGAAATACATGCTGAAGGCTCGCTGAAGGTCACGCTCACTTCACTCTCCTGCATGCAAACGTCATGCAGACATGAGCTCACGCTGGGGGGAGAGGGGCTCACCTGTGGCAGGGGGCGTGGTGTTGAGATATTCCAGGCACTGGTTCCTGTAGCTGCTCCACTTCTCTTTCACAAGCTCCAAGGAGTTAGTTGAGGAAACCTGCAGGAAGTCAAAACTGTCTAAAGCTTCATGTCTGATTTCAGCTCCTGCTTTGGACTCTCAGTGCGTTTAATGAGTCAAGCGCACATCCCAGGCTGTGTGTGGGGGTGTGACAGAGAGACGGGCGGGAGTCGTACCTTAGTGCAGCTGCAGAGCATAAGCAAGGCCAAGGGGAGACACACCTGGAACATCCCACTGATGCTGGGAGGATGGCGGTCGGGGGGACCAGAATTTAGAGGAGGCCCAACACATGAGGCCCTATCTCACACACACACACACACACACAATATGAAGAAGCTTGTTAGCAGGAGACAGCATGTGCGTTGTGTGTCTTGTTGACCTACAACTGAAAGAGATGGAGTGAAATAATTAAGATGTCAATGAACAGAAAAAAAAAAGATTTTTACTGTTGTTTTCACAGTGTATACATTGATTGTATGGCTGCCACACAAACATTGGAGCTCAGAAGATGATTGAATGATGAGATTGGACAGTGGAGAGAAGTGGGTCAGAGAACGACATGGTGCCTTCAAGGAAAAAAAGAGATTTCCCCAGAGGAACAGACTCCTGCTGGCATATTTGCATGTGTGTACCATTTTAGAGTGTGTTGAATGAAATCTACATTATTTTTAAAGAGTGTGTGAATTGCATGCATGTAAATGTGTGATGTTTGCAGCCGGGGCTTTTCCTGCGATGTCATCTTCACCCACGCAGATGGAGAACAAAACGAAATCTGAAACGTTTCTGCAAAAAACACCTTGACCGTGGAAACATTTTTGGCTAAAACGTTTCAAATTCCATTCTGTTCCAGTCGCTGTGCTTCTGCTGAAGAGCTTTCATACATGTTTCTGTTTGTGTGTGTATTTGTGTCCATTACTGCTGTCACCATCAGAGATCTAAGTCGAACAACCATAACCTGACACGACAACCATAAAATGAACTGGTGCAGTTTTCTTGCTGTAACAGACCTCTTGTGATGTCATAGTTACATTCTACTGGCTGAGCGTTCACACAGGAAGAGAGCGTTTTGAATCTGAGCGATTACTCTGTCTGCACCACTGTTGATGATGAAATACAAGATGATTTTACCAGCATATATAATACTGTATGGCTCCTTATCAAGGCAGATATGGACTCTACTATAATCCTCCATACAATGGTTAAACCCTGCTTCCCTGTCCCCTGAGGGTTTTTGCTTTTTTTCTCATCGTTGATTCACAGTTTAATTAATCTTGATATTCTATATTAATCCTTATGTATTCTTACTGTCAGTAAATCCCATGAAGAGACACAAAGCAACAATAAACTCTTCTGACTATTAAGAATGGTCTCTGCATCCATATCCTGGTATATCTTATTTTTATGCGCTGTGCAGCTCCATTATAAAAAAAAACACATCAGTGAGAAGCACTGTTGCATGAGAGACATGTCTTTTTACTATGGGCATGAATCAACGCCACATACACACTCTCCGGCTGCTGTAATTACTGTAGCACTAAATGTTTATTAATCCATATAGGAACTCAGATTCTTTTTACTCTGACAACCCATCAACAGTGACGTAAGGTGGCTGGTGAGTGACTAAAATGGATTTTGACCCAACGTGTGTTTCAGGAGTATATCTGAGGATATTTGTTATCAGCATCATGTTTCTATTTTTTTAATTTACCCACAACACTGAGCAGAGGACGGCACGTAATCACTCGACTGCCTCGAAATGTGTTTTGCAGTCTGTGTAAATCTCTGGTGCTTCCAGTATCTGAGCACCTCAGGTTGAAGGCCAGTAATTAAATCCTCCAGACATTTTGTAATGAATGACTTTTCTCTCTGCCTTAAGTAAAATGTATTGCTATGGTTTGATGTTGTGTTTGCATTAAAAAAATCTTTTGTTTTTTTAAAAAAAGAAGCAAAAATTTTTTGAAACACAAATAATCTTTCTGTCAAGTCATAAAAATATAAAATGGTGTTTAAACAGTCACAAAGAAAGACTCCACGTCAAACGAAACAAAAGCCTTCCTGCTGTGAGGCGACAGCTCTAACCACTGTTCCACCTTGCCGCACACCATTTTATTATACTTAATGTTATTTTATATTACTTTAACATTAACTGAGAGAAACCATTTGTGAGCTGCAGCGGTCACTGACCCACTGCGTGCATCAGCCTTCTGAATAATGAGTTGGATCTTTCTTACATGAGAGTTCAGGGGGAAAAGCTTGTCGTCCCATGAATACACAGATGTGTGTGTGTGTGTGTGTGTGTGTGTGTGTGTGTGTGTGTGTGTAGAGTTATTACAAATTGAGACAAAGCAAGAAAAGGAAGGCAGGAAAATATAATGATGCTATCTGATTTGTATAGTCACAATCAGCTAGTGTGAGTCACTGCTTTTCCTTTGGAATATTCCTGAATAATGTCGCATGCAAAAGCCGCATACAAATCAAAACTCAACAGTCCTGGAGAAAAACACGGAGAAAGGCGAAGGACGAGGCGGGGGGGAACCTGTGACAGTAAATCATTTGAAAAATCTAAGAAAAACTACTTATCACACATGAACTTGATTGATCCATAAGGCTCAAAAGACCAATAAGGAAGTCTATCAGGAAGACGGAGTGTGCCCATCATCATTGAGGTCATGCTGTCTGCATTGATGTGTGTTCGTATTTGTGGCGTAGTGTTATTGAATAATTGCATTACCCACTGTGAGCA